AATTAACTTAAGACTGGTATGCACACATATGTTGAAGAGATAAACTTTGATCTTAGCATTTTGTGCTTTTATCTTTTTTTAAAAAGTATCATTTGAGGGATTACTAAGAATATTAGTTATGACAACAGAATGTTTCAGAACATAATTGTGTTTCATAATAGTCACATTATTATGTCATTTAATTATAATTTGTAGGTGGAAATGATTAGGACTGTCATCAAAAAGGAACTTCAGCTTCCAATTCTAGAAATTTCAGACCCAGAAGCAACAATTGATGGAGGGGATGTATTATTTACAGGTAAGGTGAATTTTCTGAGTTAGTTTCCAGTCAGATAAACTTTTGAAGCATATAGGTTTATAATATTCTTCCATATTTTATATTTTATCTGTCATTTATATTACAGTAAACAATGGGTTTTATGCAACTTAGCAACCAGTGGCACTGGAGTATGTCACTTTTTGAAGTGTCTTTGGCCTGATTATAATCTGAAGAATATCAACTCAGAAATGCTATTTACCTCTCTGCACCTTGCGTACATTTTCCCTCTAGCTACCACATTTCTACATTAAGCTACTTTAAACAAAGTATGCCAAGTAATACAAAAAAGCAAACAGAAAATGAAGAAGTACCTGTTCCTCATCAAGGAATGAAATGCCAGAAACAAAGACTGGAGTGGAAGAGCTGGCCAAAATAGTTCACATGTAAGGCAAGCTCAAAAGAAGGCAAAGAAACAAAATGACTAAGGACCTGAACTGGAGAAGAAAAAGACAGAAGGGAACAAACCACCTGATGCAAAAAAGCTGACTCATCATCAGCTCACTTGTTGGTACACCAAGGTTCATCAAAGCTCAATAAGGTTGTGGAAGTTAAGTTATCCATGATGTCAAAAGTACCTCACCATAGAATGAAATCCAAGACCTGTCACGTGCAGGTGAGTGCTCTTCTAAGTGAGCTAAAAGAATAACAACTGAATGTCAGGTCCACTGAGTCAGTTTCAAAAAATGCCTGAAAAGGAATGTATAGGCATTGGGATTCAAAATGATTCAGAGAAAATTTGATAACAAGGTGTCAAACCACTGACGACTTGGGGACAACAAAAAGACAGGAATGAAAGCCAAGTGGGGTGGGAGACAAGTTTTATAGCTCCTACTGCCATCAAAGAAGACATCACATCTTGAAGATTATGAAGATGTAAGGGATCAATAAGAAGAAGATAGAAAGGAGAGCAATGAGAAAAAAGGTGTGGAGTATGAAAGAAGAGAGAAAAATGATAAGAAAGAATGTGCAGAACCCCAGGATCACTAAATAAGGAAGAATGCAGAAAGGTTATGTGCAAAAGGAGGGCACTGATGAGACCAGAGCCATATCAGATAGCTATGTGGAAGGAGGAAAATGAAGAGAACAAGGAACAGAAGGGGGCAAGCCCAACATGACTCTCGAGAATGGGAGGTAGATAAAGATACCCATGGACCAGTGAGTCAGAAAATCATGGGGACAATAGAAGATTCCAGGTAAGCAGTCTAAGACTAGGATTCAAAGGAGTTAGGAACACACCCAAAAACCAGATCTGTAAGCAAATGGATAGGACAAAGGTCCCAGATATAAAAGGAAGGGATGCAAACATCCAACTGAGAATGGCTGGAGACGGCTTGAATGGGTAATGAAGAAAACTTTAATACAACAGCAAATGTACAATGTTTCGACAAGGTTTTCTTCATTACCCATTCAAGCCGTCTCCAGCCATTATTAGTCTCAAAGTGGGTTCCTCGTCATCGAATTTGAATCCAACTGAGAAGATACCAAAAACAAAGAAACCAGGTCAAAGTAGAGACAAGAAAGGAAGATATGGAAACCAAAGAAAAATAGGTATCACCACCAAGATTACTGGGGTCAGGAAAAGGAGCATCAGTGAAGAGTTGAAGGGTGAAGATAGAGTAAAGGTAGACAAAAATACAGATAGCTGGAAAGAAAGAGAATGAGGAGCACCTTGAGCAGATGGAAAAGACATAAGAGAATAGGGACCAAGAAATATAAAAGGGCCAAGACCTAGAGCTATAGTGAAGAAGTCACAAAGATGAGTTGGACAAAAATTGAGGGACTTTGCAAAGTTGATGGCAGAAGGAAGCACATGAAGTAAAACATACAAAGAGACAGTGTGATATACAGGTAAAAAAAATAGAATATCACATATCTGATTCATGAGAAATATCTATCTTGGATAAACACAACATGGGAGAGAGGGCCCAATGTAGACTGAAAAAGTAGTCCATCTAGAATTAAAAAACAATGAGTAGAGAAGCAAGAATCCTCAAATGTTAGCGAAAGTGCCTTCAATACCAAATTCTCCATGGTGCAAATAAGCAAGAGAAAAGGTTGAACTCAACCCATGAGGGAGTTGAGGAAAATTTCCAAGTGTACAAGAAACTGAGTGGGAATCAATACAGATTCAGAAAAGTAGCTCAGTCAGCCCAGGTGAGAGGTCACTCAAAGAAGATTGGAGTTGCAATAGTTAATTCCTGGTGAGACAGGGCCAGGAGAAGCCAAATCACCATATAATAATGGAAATGAAGGTACAGAAGATGCATGTGCCAAGCAAAGGAATGCATGATCTGACTGAAAACATAAGGGGCCATCGCTAGACTGATTGGAAGGTCAAGGAATTGAAAGACAATTATTGGGGGCAAACTGCAGGAATGACAGGATACAGAATAAATGTAAAAGAAGGCATTTGGAGTCCTGATTTTGCTTGGTTATTCACACATGCATTCCCTTTAATGGGCTCTGCGGAATCATTGGCTCATGTCCTGTGTTCTCTTATCTGCCTTATCTTCCGTGCTACATCTCTGTCATGTTGGTTGGATTCTTCCAACATATCCCAAGATATACCACTCTCCCCCCTTTTGCCCAACTTGCATTTTTACACAGAGGAATGTGTGTACGTTATTAACAGATTGCTAAAAAGTTAAACCTGTGATAACATCAGGGATTGTGGGTACGTTATTAACTGATTAGTTATAAGTTAAAGCTGTGATAATATCAGGGATTGTGTGTACATTATTAATAGATTAATTATAACTTAATGCTGTGAAATTACCAGGGATTTCATGTACGATAATAAGAGATTAATTATAAGCTGTGATAATATCAGGGATTGTAAGTACGTTATTAACAATGCTATAAAGTTGTAGCTAGTTTTGGATAACTAATATTAATATGGATGAATGAAATGTTTAATTTTATATTTAACTTTTTTCTCTAGGTCGGGAGTTTCTTGTGGGTCTTTCAAGTCGTACGAATGAAGCTGGGTCTCGTGCTTTAGCAGCAGCCTTTCCAGAATATCCAGTTACACCTATTAGAATAAAACATAAGCTTCACTTGAAAACTTCGCTGACCATGGCAGGACCTGACACTTTGTGTGTTAGTGAAGAGCAGGAGAGCCAAGATATTCTCAAGGTATGATTTCTATTATATCAGGTATTCACAGTGACAATCAAATTTTAACATCATTTTTGCTTTCTGTTTAGATAGACCCTGGGGTAACCAAGGGGTTAGCATTTATTAATAAGAACTTCCAAAAGAAAGTAAAGAAGAATTTATATAATAATATGACAACCACACTATAGCTGGAATATTCAGTGCCAATGAGTTATTTCCCTCAATACCAGGCCTTTTTATGGCTGGCTGGGATAGGACAGACATAGCATTGGTTGAGACAATGCTACTTATATCAGCAACTACACAGAAAGAAGATAGATGAAGCATCTACTGTCACCACCAAAGCTCAAGAAAAAAACCGCAAACAAGACATCAAGCCCCTGCAAGTGTCAAAAGGCAACATCTCGAGTTTAGGTTTTCAGGAACTGAAGGAAGCACAGAAGAATGACCCTTCACTGCAGAAACTTTGGTACATTGCCCTGGAGAAAGTCAAACACAAAACAAAGGGGAAAGATACTTATAGAATAGAGGACCAGAAGGGAGTTCTATAACAAATCTATCAAGGTAGTTATACTGGGGAAGATAAAGAGATCATAGTACCAACAGAATACTGGGCTCAAGTGATGAAGTTTGCTCATACATCAATTGTGGGAGGACACCTAGGAACAGAGAAAATGGCAAACAGAATCACCAGTAACTTCCATTGGCCAGGAGTCATCGAAGATGTGAGTAGATTCTGCAGGTCATGTGACATCTGCCAAAGGACAATACCTAGAGAGTAGCCAAAGTGCCAGAAGGGAAGATGCCTCTCATAGAAGAGCCATTCAGCAGAGTAGCTGTGGATTTGATCGGGCCACTAGTGCCTGTGTCTCACAAGGGCAACTGGTATGTGCTGATGGTAGTTGACTATGTGACACATTATTCAGAAGCAATAGTACTGGGGAAGATGGATAGTAGCAGAAGCTCTCCTAGAGATATTTTGCAGAGTAGGCTTTCCTAGAGAAATCTTGAGTGACAGAGGGACCTTGAAGTGTCTGAGAGGTGCACATATTATCTTTGTTATGAACTATGATGAACTGTTTTTCATCCTTGTAGAGATAACGGGAGTCACAATTACACAATGGTTGTCTGGCAAATCTGGCTGATAAACAATTGTTTAGGATGTTGAAAGTCTATCAGTAATATAAATGAATAAGTTCAGAGCTAAACTCTCATGTTTGCTTTAGTATTGGAATTAATTATTTTAGATATCTATACTTTGTTTGGTACATTCAGTTAAATAGCTGTACAGTCAGTGTCAAATATAACTCATTTTGGCACCTGGATCAGTTATACTGACTACTGTGAAGAGATTAAGGAATTGCTCTTTTTCAGATATTTTATCAATTATCAAAAACAGAGTATTCAGTATATTGCTTATCTGAAAACTTTAACTTGTTTAATATATGTTTACCTTGTAAAAATTAATTTTTTTTCTCTCTCTCTCTCTCTGACAGAAGATTGAACAAGAAGCATCCTTCCAATACAAGACAATAACAGTTCCAGATGGTGATGCTGCAAACTGCATCTACGTTAATGGGACCTTGATTCACTTATCAGAGTTTCCAAACAGCACTAAGGTATCTTATAAGCTGTCTTATTCAGTCTTGGCACTTCACAATAAAATAAGGAAGGATATTTGGTTAACACTTTACTTAAACTTGTAGCTCATTACAGTTTTTATTCTATATCTAAGCTTTCACTTTCTGTAATTTCCTTTTGATAATTTATTAGAAGTAATGTTTGTTTTGTACATCAATCGTTTCTCACTTATATTTAGTTAAATAGCAAAATTAGATTTAAAACTTTTTTGAATCATAACAGATTAAAAACATGAAAAATGATAATACACTTTATGAGTGTTAACATTTCATAATCTAAAAAGGTATTTCTGATAGATACCTCCTTACACAGAATAGCTGTATCCCTTATGCATCTGCCCATGAGACTTGCATGCCACTAGCCTTGATCTAACTCTCACCTAAAATTCACGATTACTGTGAACTGCACAAGTGCATGATGATGTAATGATGCAACAATAGCCCTCCCCCAGTAGGAGGGCTACATATCCTCCCCTTAAGCAATTACACTCGAGTATCTATTGAAAATACATTTTCAGATTAGAAAGATGTCAGCTTTCAGTAAGATACCTCAACTCTGCCCACAGAATAGCTAGAATCCCACATTGAATTGGTAAAGGGGCTGATGCAAAATTCTAAACCTAGAAGAACTCCCTTCAGTAAGGGCTTGAAGAGGTATAAGCTCATGGAGTGTGACACCTGATGGCAAGGGCTCCATAGAGGCACACCTGTGGAAGACCGCATCTCGTGTACCACACCGATGGTGCCATCACTACCCTACTTCTCACCACATTGTTCTGAGCACAATTGGTGGGGAACTGTCCAAGGTCCACCATCCCAGCTTCTAGGAACTGGTATGTGATAAGGGTCTACTGTAGGAGGGGAGGGGGAATTCACACAAGGGAGACTCAGGGAAGTGCCCATATCCCCAACCAGAAAGGTCTGCTACTGGAGGTAGTGCAATGGGTGACTGTGAAACTATATTTAAAAGCCAGCAAGCACAAGCCAAAGAAAATGGGCAGTCACTTCCCTGATGGTGTTTTTTTTTCATGATAGTCCATTGAATGGAATGATACCTGAAGAAGACAGTCCAATGTTCTGTGAAGACATGTAGTATGTTCCACCATAAATAATTACTTTATTATGCTTATAAATCATTGTTTGCCTACTTATTATTATATTAGCATAATGTGCTTCCTTATTCAAGTAGAACTTTCTAGGCTTAATTTAATGTCATCTCTCCCCATAGTATATCAGTTAGATTTACAACTTCTAATATATAGAAAAGCCAATGCCTTTTGATAACAATGCCTTCCAACAATGGCTTTTATGTCATGTCGCTTAGCAACAAAAGTATAACCTAATATTGTTATTAGTCTATGTACTGAAAGTATAAAATGAAATGTATAAGCAACAAAACTGGAATGACATTTGTTGATTTCTTAATTTAGAGTCTTTATTGATTAAAGAGGTTTGTTTTTTCATTTAAAATGCTGGTGATGTAACAGAAAATACCTTAATTCAAAAACAATTTAATTTTAAAATTGGATCGACATTTTTACATTCATGATAAATTTTATGCACATGCTAAAACATATCAACCTAATAACCCATGTGAATCTTCATATTCATTACTAGCAAAAGTAATGAAGAAGAAGATTTATCTGCATTAAAAAAGCTTGGTTTGCATAACAGCACAGTTATTATTAATCTGATAAAATAAATAGTATAACTGTTCTTTATAAATTGGAGAATTTAAATAAAGTTGATAACATCTTGAGTGATTCAACTAAACTTGTGAAGCTTCATCATGATCCTAATGACACTAGAGAAATAAAATTGCGAAGATATCTACTCAAATTAAAGAAAGATAATGTGCTACCTAAACCACAATATTCAGAAATTAGACCATCAAGGATTGTCTATGGCTTTCCTAGAATATATATAAAAAAGGATGTCCATTAAGATCTATAGTTTTAAGTACTGGAACTTATAATCATGCTATGGCAGGTTTTTAGTAGGTTTTTCTGAACAAGTATATAATATCACTATTTCATAAACTTTAAAAAACAGTTCTAAATTTTCTATAGTTATGCACAGACTTATATATTAAATAACCATTTAAAAGAGATATACATACCTAAATTATGGTTTTTTAAAGTTAATGAATTTAGCAATTAAAGAATCACACTTTCTGTTCTGTGACAATATTATGGTCACATTGATAATGTAGCTATGGGTTCTACATTGGTTTCTTCTTTAGCTAGTAATTTTCTTTGTTTTCAAGAAACAATGGTTGGATGATTGTCCACAGTTTTTTTAACCCATTATATTATTGGAGGTATGTAGATGACACTTTTTGATATTTTTGAGGACCCAAATCATATTCCTCAGTTTTTGGACTATTTAACAGGAAATATAAAAGTATTAAGCTTACTGTTGAACATCAGTAAGACAAAAATACATTATTACATAATTTTGATGGTAACTTTGAATGTGAAGTTTACTATAAGAATACATTTACTGACCTTTAAATCAATTTTACAAGTTATATACGAAATGTGTTTAAAGAAAACAGTGAAGATTTTATCATATGGTCAAACATATAAAAATACTTATATGAATTTTTGCACAAGGGACTGTACAGTATCAGAAATTTTCTATGCAAAAATAACTTTCCTATTTATCTTATTCATTGAAACTCTAGAAAGCTTCCAACATAAGAAATACCTAAATGTCCAGTATATTTATACTTAATGTTATAAACTATATTTATTTATTATTGTAAGTGGTTTGTTAGCCAGATGAAATGCTCATACATACATGCACGCATGTGGATAAAATAAGTAATAATATCCAGGTGCCCACCCTCAGGGTCCACTTAGCATGAGTGCAAAATTTCAGGTTTCTAGGTTCTTTTCTCTTGGAGCTATGGCAGTCACACACACAGACACATCCTTATATTATTACAGATTAAATGAATATGACAGAGAACATAATGTTGATTTGAAACCACCACTCTAACAGGCTCTTCAACCTATTATATTTCTAAACTCAAACTAAGTTGTTACATTACTTTTTTATTTTAGTTATTTATTTGCTGTATCTAAAAAAAATGTTTCTGAAGTATTTTTTTGGAAAACTATTATTGTTAAATTTTCTCCACAAATTGCATTTGCAGGTGTTTGAAGAAAAAGTAGATTTCAACAGAATTGCTCTGAATATAAGTGAGTTTAGAAAAGCAGATGGTTCCCTCACATGTCCTTCTATTGTCATCAAGAAGACCAAGTAATTAAGAAAACTAACAAAAAGTGGATTGATCAATGTTCATCATTTTATAACTAAATTTTGTTGGTTCATTTGTTTCTGTTTGAAAAATGTTTAAGATTCTAGTTTGGTGGAAATGTTTATACTATATTTATCCTTAAAATTTTATTTTTAATATTTTAAATTTCTTGTTTGTTTATTGTGTTAACTGGAAATGTGATATGCATTGCACTGTGAAACTTGTGACAGTTTAATTTTTTATGTTTATGTAGAGAAAATCTTTCCTATCAAACTTGGTGCTGTTGTTGTAATTACATAGCCAGTATTTTATATTATACCTCACCTAAATTAATACCACTTATTAAATGTTTAAGTTATTAGTAAAGGAAATTACTGTTTTAATTAAATACAGAACTGAACAACACTTCTCCAAACATTAAAAATCTTAAAACAGTAATGGAAATTTAACTTTATGTTTCTGCACACTCACACTCAATGGTATATACTAAATTTTCACAATAAAGATAAAAGATTAAAAACCAATTTAGAAAAAAGTACTCTTTGAAGCTTTTGACATTTACTATTTCAGCATCATATTATGAAGTAATCACTCAAAAAATAAAAAACAGTATATTTTTGAGGAGAAGTGACCTGGTTGATAATGAATTTCACATGTGGTTGTACCAAGATGACAATGGTCACACACACAGGTATATGTTCCATTGTGTCCTGTGAACAAGTGATTTTCTCTCCAACAAATTTAAGTGAAAATTCAGTTTTGTGTAAAATTGAATAACAATTCTTCATCATATGCTTAATCTATTTATATATTTATACTTGTATATAAACAAAAAAGTTACTATTGATTAAACATTTGCTTACAATTGTTCATTCTATGCTTAATCTATTTATACTTGTATATAAACAAAAAAGTTACTATTGATTAAACACTTGCTTACAATTCTTCATCATATGCTTAATCTATTTATACTTGTATATAAACAAAAAAGTTACTATTGATTAAACACTTGCTTACAATTCCTCATCATATGCTTAATCTATTTATATATTCATATTTGTATATAAACAAAAAAGTTACTATTGATTAAACAATTGCTTACCATATGGTATGACCACTATTTCTATTCCAAGGGACCATATATGGGTGTTCTTGGTATGGCCGCTATTTCTGTTCTAAGGGACCATCTATAGGTGTATTTGGTATGGCTACTATTTCTATTTCCAGAGACCATATATGGGTGTACATGGTAATGGCCACTCTTTATATTCCCAGAGACCATGTATTGGCACATTGGTTATGGCCACTATTTCTATTTTCAGGGCCCAAATACATGGTATGACCACTATTTCTATTTCCAAAGATCATATATGGGTATACTTGGTATGACCACTATTTCTGTCCCCAAGGACTATATATGGGTGAACTTGGTATGGCCACTGTTTCTGTTCCCAGAGATCATATATGGGTGTACTTGGTATGGTCACTTTTACTGTTCCCAAGGGCCTTATGTGGATGTACTAAGTATGGCCATTATATCTATTGTATAGGAAATAAAAGCTCTGATGAATATCTTGAAAGATCAGATGCAGACAATTAATTCAGTGAATTATAATCAGAAAATGACTGTGAAGGAACCCAAAGTGAGAAGCTTAAAAAACTGCATGCATCTTATGAAGTACAGTGATTATACCTTTGGCTACATATTTCAATCTGTAAGCTAATGTTTGGATAAGAGTTTTCCTAATGAATCCAGTGACATATGGTTTTTCGGACATTCTTCAATAAAATATATAATAAATCAGTCAAATATAATATCTATATGTTGTTGTTTTTTTCTCAAATTTCCTGGAAATACAAAATATTTTATTTCAAAAGGGTAAAAGTAATTAAATGCTCATTACAATTCTGTTTAAGTAATAAATAATAAACCTGCAAGCATACAGATATAATATAGTTTTAAATCTCAAGACTTGCAGGAAAGCTTGTGTAGTAAACAAGGTAACTTCTCAAAATAGATCCTTTTTAAAGTTTCTGACTACATCCTTTGTTCAGGATTCATCATATAGTATATAGCCATCTACATAATGCTGAAAGTGGATAGTAAATTGAAGTCCTATGAATTGAGGATATTGTATATAACATGAAGTTACCTGAAAAAGACAGTATGTCTTGGTATTTTATATATATGTGGTATTCATACAGTCAGCACTTCATATTCAGGTTTATTTCAGTGAAATATTCCATACTTCTCTACCCTTCTAGAACTAGGCTTTCCACCATAACACGATATGTAGCATGGTCCCTTAGTTACATTAGGTAAAATATTGGTGGCCTCTGAAGCAAACAAAATATGATTTAATTTTTACGATGCATAATGGCACTTCAGTGCTACTTCGTTTCTCAGAATAACAGAATTGACCCAGCCACAAGTCTTCACAGTTTCCAACGACATCTATAAAAAAAACAAAAAACAACCCGCCTCCCAGCCCCAAGCCACTTTCCACTTCAATCTCACCGAACACCTTAGTAATTGACACCTCCCCCGATCTCTACCAACCTGACGAACCTTTCTGTACCTTCCGCCCAATCACCGAGAACTCCACGCCTTTACCACCTGCCTGGAACCAGAACCTGTTCCACAATAAAACCATGGCGAACATCAGGTGACTCCACAACTCATTCAAAAGCTAATCAAGCCCCAGCACCGGACTTCCCCTTGCCTTCCCTACTTACTTCTTCTCGCTAACCGGGCACTTGTAACGGACTGGTCGTTACCAGTGAAGGTGGGTTTTCACGGGGTACTCCCGTTTCCCCCACATTAAATTCTCGGCATAGGATTTTTAGATCCCCGCCGCCCTGATGGACCATCTGTCCGATATCGGCCGTTTAGTTTAGTTTAGTTTATTTAGCTCTTCACTTTTTATTGTTTACCGTTACTCTCACGTTTACCTTTCTAAATTTACATACCTTGTCTGCATTAATTTCCTGTTTTCTCAAGTTAAGCCCATGTTCCTAGGCCACGCGCGGGGTGAAGGAGGATTGTTTAATCTTCGAGCGCCCTAGATTAGTAATTATTTCTTCGGAAATAATTATTTTTAAATCTAAATAACTGCCAGAAACGAACGAACTATTTGTTAGTATCGAGACTGCATTGACTCACCAGCACGTTTCATTAAGTCATCCTCTGTGACCATGAAAATAATGTTAGGCTACAGATGTGGTTTGCAATGTTTAACAAGCTTCCGGCGTTCAAAACCGTGTTGTTGCAACAACAGCCACGAAAATAGGCAGCAAAAGACGTCAAATAAATCTGTCTTTTTTTTTCTACTGCGGCTGGGTGTTCCCTAGCAGTTAGCTTATTGTGTTACAACTCGAAGAATCCAAGGTTCGTGTCGTGATGCCGCTGAAAATCCTCATCTTTTTTAGCTGTGACACATTATAAAAGTGACAGTCAAACTCGTAGCTGATATATATAAGTTGAGAATAATGTTACTTATCACGAAGTGAGTGAACTAGAAAAAAAAAGTTAAAAAAAATAAAAAGGAGATATTATCAGATACTATTTTTACTTCAAATTCGGGTGTTCACAGACAAATATTTTCCAATGAAAAAAGGATTGCCATTTCCAACTGAATAGCATCCTACACGCTCGTGTACTAAACGGATAAGTAAGAAAACCCTAGGATCAAGTATAGCTATCCATAGTTTTAAAACTAGCCACAGTGAATATAGACAGGCAACGGCATCCAGTTTTTATATACAATAAGTGTTTACCAATACCAGGTTTAATGCAAAATACTACTTTATTATCATTTCGGGGTTATGTAAATTATTTGCTGATGTTTTCAATTCAGTCTGATTGTAATAGAATAATAATAATGATGATAATGTTTTGTAAGACTGATTAGATCAAAATACTTGCCCGATACAGTGATCAGGTGTATAGTGTTAAGGCAGTTCTAACAAAAATAAAAGTTTTTTATCTCTTCACTCATTTTCCTGTTCATATCTCTCTAATACGAATAACTATAAAACATCACAAATATATCAAAAAATATATATATAGATATTTATGCACACGCGCATATATATTTTTAAAGCATGACTGTATACGTTACCCCGGTTTGTACATTTGAAGAGTGATACTCTTTAATTCCTGCTATATTGTATACTTAATTGCCGATAGAAAATAACACAGATAGTCCCCCGCTGGGACAGCGGTAAGTCTTTTGGATTTACACTGCCAAAATCAGGGGTTCGATTCCCCTCGGTGGACACAGCAGATAGCCTGATATGGCTTTGCTATAAGAAAAACATACATACAGTTTCATTAAATTTTCAAATAATGATAAATATATATTTTTTCTATAAAGCTGCTTGTGAAACAGTACGTTGGTTACGGGATGAAAGAAATACATGGTGCCCTAAGGAGAACCTGATCAATAAGGTTGCTTATTTTATTGTATTTCATCCAATTTACCCGCTGTGGCTCAGTGGTAAGTCTGAGGGCTTATAAAGCTAAAATTCGGATTTTGATACTCGCGATGGGCTCGAGACAGATAACCCATTATGTATTTTTGTGCTTCATTTCAAACAAACAAATTCATGCACTTTTCTCATGTGGAAATAGTTACGTGATCAACTTGAATTTCCTACGCCATCGAATTAGCGCAGCATTTTCAGAGCTGAGCTAGAAAGAACACATTTCAGTTGTCAATGTATGCAGTGGTGTGGGAACTATTTCGAACGAATCTGACTTTACAAATATCAAAATTCTTGAAGTTTTGCACACATCTAGAAGAAAAGATCATGAACCCTTTCATTCAGGTTGTAGGCAAGTAATCAAAGTATTTTTAGAGAAAATATTGTAAAATATAACGTGTAGTTCTGTTAGTATTGATCACAAAGTTCCAAACAACTTATGGTCAGAGTTTATACTTCTCATCAAATTCTCAGGAGATTTACTTAGGAAGTTCGTGGTCCATTGTGAAAAGTCCCGAAAGTACTATTCATTTTTTCGTCGAGTTTCTAAGTCAGTTGCTAAGACTATAATAACTACAGAAAATAAGTGTGAAAAATATTTCCAATCTTTTCACACCTATTTCCTATGTTTATTTTACTGTTAGCAGCTGAAGTAGAAACCTTTCGAAAATAAAGCAACGAATCGTTGCTGTTGGCTTCCCGGCTTCGAAAACACAGTTGGGTAGGGTTTATCGGCTTGTTAGTAGTACAGCAATTGCAACAAGTATCTTATTAAGTACTATATAAAAGTTAGAGAAAATATTTACGATATAGCTGTGTACAATGTCTGATCCAATCCAATAAACTTGTTAGGTATTTGAATGTTAGTTACCTCTCGATGTGGTCAGGATTTAGTGGTATAGACGTAAAAGTGTATAAGAACTTATGAACAACCTGTTTCCTATTTAACCATACTTAAACAGTAACCAATAAATGCTTAGTTAAAAACACCACATGCTTATCAATCACAAAGTTTATTTTGAGTAGTTTGTGTAATCGTACTTTAAAATCATTCCCAAAGGTTCCACATAAAGATTTTTTACAGGTAAAATACGACGCCAAACACTCTAATAACAAAACATGTAACTTTCATGACAAGTTATTAGGTACTTTTTGAAATCTAAAAAACTCACTTTTATGTTTCAGTCTACCTTGAGATAGGATACTGCGTTTATTTAAAAAAAAACTATATCCCGTAATCTCGCAGCTGCGAATCATTTCGGTACATTATATCCCATGATTCTGTGCAGCAATCAATATCGCAACACTACAGGAAGGCAAACAGACTTATACTCTTATATCTATTATTGCTCTGTGCGTCAAACGGATTGCGAAATGTGGTGAATTCACTTGATAAAATACTGCAATAAAACAAGTTATGTTTACCTGTCGTCCTATATACAAGTATTCTGAGGTATGGCGAGTTTGAGAATTATTTATTGTATAATGATTAAGCAAGATATTTTTTTTTACTTGAGGAATTTAATGCTTATTATTACAAAGGAAGTATTAAAAGAAATAAGAATAATACTAGTGATTAAAACAAAATAAACTAATTTAATCTGTAAGTTTGGTTGTTTTTTAGGTTAAACCCACAGTAGGCTAACTGCTGTATCCTCCTCGTTGAATCGAACCCTGGATTTTAGTGTTATAAGCCCGTAAACTTACCGATGTCTCACCGAGGGACTAAGCTGGAAGTGACCAACTAGAAGTTATAATAAAAACTGTATAATCATAATTTTCCTGATGGTACTGGAGAAATCTTAAAGCACTATAGTTCATTTTACAAGATGAAGAGAGCACTTGTCTAAATATTGCTATATAATTTTAAAAAATGCACACAGAATAAGTCTAAGTTATATCTATCTGTATAAAAAACGTTTCGTGTGTTATCTTTTTAAACATGTATATCTCATAATTAAGTTATTCATACACGGAATAATATAATATTTTCAACTTGTTGCTTGTAGTCTTAAAAATGATAGAAATCCTTAAATAGTCAGAAAACAACAACAGCAACAAATAACACTGGCAATCTTTTTCATATATTTGTGTAGAATATTTATAAATAATACATAACGATTATTATTGCAAGTATAACCAATTATTTCTTATTTAGAATAACCCTCTTTAATTTTCAACGTGGTCTGTTATTGTGCTGAAAAGTTTCGCCCCCTAGTGGCACAGCGGTATGTCTACGAACTTAAAACGCTAGAAACCGGGTTTCGATACCCGTGGTGAGTAGAGCAAAGATAGCCCATTGTGTGGCTTTGTGCTTAATTACAAACAAA